TTTTCCCTCGCCCCGTTCTCGAGATATTTGGACAACTATTAAACCGATTTGTTTTAGTTTTTGTGCTGTAAAGTTTTTAAAAATGCATTAATCATGCTCAAATTTCATATTTATTTATTATTTATGTTTATCGGTCAACCCTAAATATTTGAAATAAATCAAACACATGAAGTATGAAAGTGTTAGCACATCTTTTTTCTGTATACAGCTACGGAATTATTACCATAAGATGAGCACCCATTGCTAGTTCGGTAGATCAACATTTTCCTGCAATATCGTTGTGGCCGCGTAACCATATAAATCTAATACGAGAATATTCCCAGGCAACTAAAAGGGAGGCCAAACACACTGCAGTACTCTGGAAGCATATAGAGGTTAATGGATAGATCCTGAGTACTTTAAACCAACCGAAAAAGAGTTTGTTTATACCTACATGTACCCTGTAGGGAAACCGCGGGCTAGTGAAACAAATTTCTAGTTCCGTACTAGGTCTTTATCGCCAAAAAAGGAACTAGTCCGATATGAACTAGATCCCCACCAGTCCAAAATCGGCGAAAAGTGGTACTTTTAAAAAACTAATTTTGTTCAGTTTTTTTCACTAGAAATCTATATCTAAAGTAACGAATTTAGAAATAGTTCGGAACTACAGAAAAAGGGATGCAGAACGAACTAGATCTTATTTGTCGAATTTAGAACCAGTTCGGAACTATCGAATTGTTTACTGTACATAGATATGTGTTCGGTGGCTTTTTCGTTCAAATACGCTTCTATTCTGTGCTTCGCAGATGCTTTTTCATAGCTTGGTAATACAAAACTAAAATTTGTGTTAACATTTCAACATCTTGGGACCGTCTGGAATATAATAAATAACAGCGAGTACCTCTGCAAACTCAGCTACAGCTAAAGGTATGTAAACGTACATTTCTTCATTCAAACAAATTTAATTTCAAATTGAAAACACATTTCTTCCAAAATAACTTAAAATCGCGCCACGGATGAACCAAAAAGATTGAAAAATCATGATACTTTTTTCTTTCTTTTTTCTATAGAATTTAGGTCTAGTTCGGAACTATCGAAAAAGGGATGCAACGGGGGGCAATTGACACTTCCTAGGACATCGCCATGTTAAATTCGCCAGTTGCTTGCATGCAAAAGAGATTTATCGCGAACCAGTACTGGGTCTAAATGTACTAGAAGCGCACCAGTTCAGAACTAAAGATTTTCCCCACATGGTGGCCACTGCCACTTATCCATTCACGCAAATGAGTGAAGCAAAATTAGCTTGGAGCCAATTAGAGCAATGATCCGCGTAGCCAAGAGAAGGCATTCAATAATACTGTACGGCAAAATCAACTTTTTTTCTGGGTATTGGACCAAAACAATTTATTTTAAGATATTGAGTCATAGGTGAAACGGCGATTTCTCCGTTTTTCGAAGTTAGCCTCCGAAATCGAGATATAGGCTTTCGAAGATCGAAATAGGACCTTTGGTAAAAAATTATAAATAACTAAAAACCTAAAAATATAGACGTGTCCTCCTTTTGCTCTTATTTAAATAACTCTTTTGTGCAAACTTATATTTCAGGTGTTATAAGGGGTCCAAATTAAGGTTTTGAAAAATTTAATTCCTTATATTGCAAACAATTTTGAACTGATTTTTAAAAAAATTATATCGTAAGGTGATTAAACCCCCTTTCTTCTGATATGCACATTTGTATACTTCGTATTTAAAAATTTTAGAAGAAACACAAATTGGTATTGTTGTAAAGATGATTAAATCCCATTTCTTTCGATATTTTTATTTGTATACTTCGTATATAAGAATTTGAGAAAAAACACATTTAAAGGAAAAAATATCTTTTTTTATAAAAAAAATCTAAACAAAAAAATTACCAACCGATTTTGAAAAGGTACTGGTACCGCAGTAAAAGTTATTATACCCCCTTTCTTGCCCCTTCTTTTTTATAAAAAAAATATTTTAGACAAAAAAATACTAACCGACTTTTAAACAATTGGTATCGCTGAAAAGGCTGTTAAACCCCTTTCTTCTGAAATGCATATTTGTATACTTCGTATTTTTTTAAAAATCGGTGAGTAATTATTTTGTTTAAAATAAAAAAGGGCACTGGTAGCAGTTTACATCGCCAAGAATACTGATACTGATAAGTTAGTAGATCAACTGGTTATCTATTTTCTTAATGATTTCCAAGACCATCTTGATGCATAACTTTCAGATAAATGTCATCATAAAGTAAAATAATATATATATTTATGCTTTTCTTTTTTCAGTATTAGGTTGTCGCAATATTGCAAATTTTAATTGATTTTCGATTCTTAAAATCCCACAGACTTTTTATTTATAAACTTAGGCATACTTTAACCCTCGCACATAAGATGCCAAATAAATGAAAAAGGATGTACTAGATCAAGTTCTTCGCCACCTCGTTTTACTTGACTGCTGTATTTATATATATATACAGTGACATACAAAGTGTTCACGTATTGATTTTTTTTTTAATATTCACAACGTTTTTCAAGTTAATTTTTTTTTTGTTATTTTTCTACAAAATGTTGTCCCAGCTTTTGCCAAAACCAGAATTTTAAACTTTATTGAAAATGTTTCATAAAAATTTCGAGCTTTTTAATCTGAATTTGTACAAGACTTTTGTGTATGCAGTTTTATAGCACATAATATTTTAGTCTCATGAAGTGCAAGCGGCTAAAAATTGCGTTAATTTTTAAGAACTTTTTGTGTGACTACTTTTTCGGTTTTCTTCATAGAACAAGTGCAAATTAAAAAACCTGGCGTTGATTTTTTTTGAAATTTTGTTGCGAGCGGTCTCCCGCATATTATTTCATCAGAAATTCATGCTTATATGGAAAAAAGTGCTAAAATCCGTCAGCCAAAAAAAACGCATACACATAAATCTTGTAAAAATTCAGATTAAAAGGTTTGAAATTTGTATGAAAAATTTTGTATAAATTATTTTTGTATGGGCCAAATTCCTATGAATTTTGTTTGCTTGGTTGGAGGTGCTTCGGCCGATGGAGTATAAAGTTTGAAACTCTCCATTATATGGTTTTGTCTAAAGCTTGAATAATTTTTTTGTAGAAAAATAACAAAAAAAAAAAGAATTTATTTGAAAAAACGTTGGGAATATTAAAATAAATAAATAAACACGTTGACACTTGTGTTAGTCACTTTATGTTTAAGTAAGTAATGTGAAGTAAGATACAGATTAAAGTCTGAATTACTTTCTTAATTTTGACTTTAAAAGAAGAACAAAAAATTACAAAATAAGAAAAATAAAGATTACACATCCAGTGGATTTCTAGTAGGTTCCGCCAACAATAAATAATTCGTTTAAATTGATGTACTTAAAGATTGATAAATCTAAGTAAACAAAAACAATATATGTATGTGCATGTGTAAACATGCATATATATATATGTATATGTATACAATTACATGTGCAGTGCATATGCATATAAGTATTACATTTTAAGTCTTGACCAATTGAAAGGATTTATATGCAAAATAAAACAGATGATACCAGCCGGTGATGGCACGCTGATCAACTCAACCTTCGCGTAATCATGTAGGCATGGAAACATGTTAACAAATATTTATACTTGCATACACAACACACACACATTGTATACTCACATGTCGCGTTGTAAAATCATCAATTACAAGCTTGTGAAGTCTAATTGTTATAAATATGAGATTTTATATGGGAAACGTAACGAAAATAAATCTTTCTTTTTATCTTGCTTTATAGCATCACAAGCATCAGTTATCGCACTAAAACGCCAGTGAGGAATTTAATAAAAAATATTGAAATGCGGAATATACGAATGTACCTACATACATATGTACATATGCATATAACACTCGAAACGCCAATGGCTCACAAAAAGGGTAAGGAAACCGGAAAAATTGCTCTGATTGATATCCATCGAACGTGAAGAATTTGATAACACGTGCCTTGGCTACAAGCAAATGCAATAAATTGAAAGAAAAAACACACCGATATTGCATCAGAGTTACACAATCGCATTCTATCACGTTTTAATTAAATTAAATTAAATAAAAAAAATCAAATGTCTGTAGTGAAAAATACAGTCCAATAAGTATACAAAAATCAGCAATTTGAAAATTTATTAAACCCAGCTTGAGAATATTGATTTGCCACACAGAAGCAGTCAGACGTAAATGAAAAAAAAAA